GTCAATTCTAAGCAAAAAGAACACAGCGGGGGGCATCACACTACCGGATTTCAAACTATACTACAAGGCTACAGTAATCAAAACAGCATGGTACTGGTACCAAAACAGAGATATAGACCAATGGAACAAAACAGAGGCACCGGAAGCAACACAACATATCTACAACTATACAATCTTTGATAAACCTGACAAAAACCAGCAATGGGGAAAGGATTCCCTGTTTAACAAATGGTGTTGGGAAAACTGGCTAGCCATGTGCAGAAAGCAGAAACTGGACCCCTTCCTGACACCTTACACTAAAATTAACTCCAGATGGATTAAAGACTTAAACATAAGACCTGGCACGATAAAAACCCTAGAAGGAAATCTAGGCAAAACTATCCAGGACATAGGAGTAGGCAAGAACTTCATGAACAAAACACCAAAAGCATTGGCAACAAAAGCCAAAATAGACAAATGGGACCTAATGAAACTCCACAGCTTCTGCAAGGCAAAAGAAACAGTCACTAGAGTGAATCGGCAATCAACAGAATGGGAAAAATTTTTGCAGTTTACCCATCTGGAAAAGGGCTGATATCCAGAATTTACAAAGAACTCAAACAGATTTACGGAAAAAAAAACAAGCAAGCCCATTCAAAAGTGGGCAAAGGATATGAACAGACACTTTACGAAAGAAGACATATATGAGGCCAACAGTCATATGAAAAAATGCTCATCGTCACTGGTCATCAGAGAGATGCAAATCAAAACCACATTGAGATACTCTCTCACGCCAGTTAGAATGGCGATCATTAAAAAATCTGGAGACAACAGATGCTGGAGAGGATGTGGAGAAAAAGGAACAATTTTACACTGTTGGTGGGAGTGTAAATTAGTTCAACCATTGTGGAAGACAGTGTGGCGATTCCTCAAGGCCTTAGAAATAGAAATTCCATTTGACCCAGCAATCCCGTTACTGGGTATATATCCAAAGGACTATAAATCGTTCTACTATAAGGACACATGTACACGAATGTTCATTGCAGCACTGTTTACAATTACAAAGACCTGGAATCAACCCAAATGCCCATTAATAATAGACTGGATTGGGAAAATGTGGCACATACACACCATGGAATATTATGCAGCAATCAGAAATGATGAGTTTGTGTCGTTTGTGGCAATAGGCTTTTAAGGAGATTTACATTCATCCCAAATTGTCAGAGAAAGAATTTGTCATTAATAATTTTCTAAAGTAAATGTTATAAGAAAAGAAACCTCAGGGGCCTATAGTCAGAAAGCAATCTACGGAAGTGAGCAGAAGTTACACATTTTTCACATGATCCTCCTGCACCCATCATAGTGTTAGTTACCTTAAAAATTCTCCTTTAATATTTTTCAACTAAATTAAAGATGCAGTTGTTTGGAAAATATAAAGGCTTACAGATGGAGTTCTTAACTTTCTCAATGGTAAATCATCAACTTTTAAAGGTAAATTTTTAAAAATAATGTAATTGGGAAGTATCTTTGGATAAAGACAACCAGTATTTAAAAACCTGTTATAAATATTATTTCATTTAAGGTTTAAAATTAGTTCTGAAGATTTTATGCAAAAAGCATATCACTTAAGTACAAGACTAGTTCTAAGAACTTCCAAGGTCAATGACATTGAATACATTTGTTAACAAATTAGTCTCAATATTCTAGGGTGTTTGGAAAACACCTCGAGTAGTGCTCTGTGAGTTCATAATAATTATACATTGACCAAATATTTTGGAATATTCTCATTGTTTAAGGAACCATAACAAAACAGGGTTTAAGTCCCCTGGCTTAACCAGTTTAACACCTTTACAGTACTGTAAGATCATGTTCCGCTGCAATAATGAATCCATTAGTCAGGCTTCTTGTAATGTGGAGCCACTTCCCAGCTAAACAGCTGCTTTACTGCTTTACACCTGCTAATGAGTGAACTGCATTTACTGAGTTTGCTTAGTTCAATTTAAATTTAGGGTTTGTATCTGAAAACATGAATTATATAAATCCTCAATGTCTTTGGTGGAAAAGGGAGATTCTTTAAAAATTCTTTCAAAGATATCTGAAATCCGGCTACATTAAGTTAATGCCATGGACAGGAAAACATAGCAGGTCATGACTCTTTGTTAAAAAAATAAAACTAGAAAACTTTAAAACACATTTTTGTTGAATATAATTTACATACTGTGAAATACAGAAATCTAAAGTGTATACGTCAAAAGTTTTAACAAATACATACATTAGTATAATCTTCATCTCTATCAAATTTCAGAATTCTTTTTTGTTTTCTTTTTTGAGATGGAGTCTCATTCTGTCACCCAGGGTCAAGCGATTCTCCTGCCTCAGCCTCCCAAGTAGCTGGGATTACAGGCACCCACCACCATGCCCAGCTAATTTTTGTATTTTTCGTAGAGACAGGGGTTTCACCATGTTGGCCAGGTTGGTCTCCAACTCCTGACCCCAAGTGATCTGCCCACCTTGGCCTCCCAATGTGCTGGGATTACACTGCACCCAGCCTAGAATATGTTTATCACCACAGAAATTTTCATCATACCATTCCACAGTTAAAATCTCACCTAAAGCAAACATCCTAGGTGTGTTATGCTTATTCTAGAAATTCATATAAAGGGAATATTACAATAAGTACTTTGTTGGTTCTATTTACTTTCACTTAGCGTAGAAGTTTTAGTCAGTTTTCTAAGAGAAGATTTCAAAATTCACCCACCTTTTTTTTTTCCTTTTTATTACTCATGAGTATTTAATTGTGTGACTATGCCACATTTTGTTAGTCTGTTCTCTTGTTGGACAGCTGGGATGTTTCTAGTTTGGGGTAATTATAAATAAAGTTGCTATAAAAAAACTATTGTACCTGTATAACCAGTAATGGGATTGCTGAGTCAAAGAGTAGTTCTGTTTTTAACTCTTTGAGGAATTGCCACGCTACTTTCCACAATGTTTGAACTAATTTATACTCTCTTTATCTATCTGGTGGCAAAAAGGTTGAGGACAGCTGTTCTAGAAGTTTTATAGTTTTGGCTTTAATTCTAAGCCTGTAATCCATCTCACGTTACTTTCATTTATAAGATTTTTTTTTCTATATGAATATCTAATTCTCCAAGGACTATCTGTTGAAAAGATTTTGATTTCTCCACTGAATTGCTTTGGTATCCTTGTTTACAGCCATTCAATTTTATATGTTGAAGTCTATTTCCTTACTCTAGGTGGTAGAAAACCATTGCCTGGTCTGCAGTGTCAGCCTGGTTGCCTATAAAGGATTTCCTCAGGTTTTTCTTTTCTTTTCTTATCTCAGTGCCTCTGCACCTACATGGTCAGTTTCTCTCAGCTTTCCTGGTCTTCCTTTGTTGGCTGACTCCTATCACTTAGGATCAAGATAAAGCTTGGAGTTCCTGTGAAATTTCTCTCCGTTCTCCTTCTTGCCATCATACTTCGGCAGGCCTCATTGTGTATTCCTCAGAAAGGTCCTGCCTCATCTTCAGTCACAGAGTAGCATAAGGCCTGGGGTATGGGAGGGTTTCTCTTAGCTCTTTGCTCTGCCCTCAGACTGCAGCAGGCTGGCAGCACTTGAACTTTGGAAGGGTCTCAGTTCTCCTTCCTTGCCAGCTTTTTTTCTGGTAAGTGCTCAGGGAAGGTCTGTGTTAAAGAGTTGGTAGGCGGTGTAGATTCTGCTTGTCTACAGGACCCTCAAAGTCCCTAAACTTTTATAGCAGCCTGTACTCAGCTTTTAAAAATCCTTAAAGGTTCACCTGTTTTCTTCCTGTTGGGTCTATGAAGTTTCCTCTTCTCCTGACACTCTACCAAAGATGAAAACATCCATGACTTCTGTAGCTCCTAAGAGGACTGGGCATTTCTCATATTTTAATTCCTTATGTTACTTTAAGACTTTAAGTATTTGACGGGTTTTAAATATTCTTTTAGATTATCTAGCTTGTTTTTATTTTGTGAGTGGTTTACTTCACAAAAATTAAAACTGCGATAGAGGAATAGTCTTCTTTATCAACAAATGTTTTAATGTCAGAGATGTCTTCGGTTTTCCAAAAGATTTAAGACAGCAGAGATTTTAGCAGTTCTTACAGTCACTAAATCAGAAACTTCTTGCTCTAAAGAAAGGATTTTATGGGATTTTTCAGCAGTTTTGTAATGTACATATATATATTGCTAAGGCTTTCTTATAATTGTAAAATCACTTATCTTTGATGACCTCAAAATATTGACATATCATGAAAAATGTCATAGAAAATAATATGACTTCTGAGTTGTACTGATATGTTTCCACTGCTATTGATGTTATTTGAGATAACTCATATTAAAACAAAAACAACAACATGGTCTTTAGCAGAATAAATTGCACAATTGGCTTGGCAGTGAACAGAAGTAGTCACAATAATTAAATGTTGAATATCAATGCAACCAGGAATTTTGATTTTGAGGTATTGACATGAGGCAAAGCGTATAATGGGAACCAGGGTAAATGAAAGCATAAAGTTCTCCTCTGTCAGAGGGTAAAGTCTGTAGGTAATGTCTAGAGATAAAAAATCAAGAAATAGGACGACAAACTTAGCAAAGTATAAACTTGAGGAAAGTATTTGAGAGAAGTCAAATACTTACTGAGCCTTCACTTTAAACTAGATTGTTTCAAGAAGAAAAGAACAGATTTGCAATAAAGTTTCCTTTTTTCTCACTTCTTCTGACTTGATGGATAGAGAACTGCTAAGCAATTAAATTCACTTGTTGATTTTTCAAGATTCGAAAAACAAATTAAATTGGATTTTCCACGTATCAGCTCCAATGTTTCTTTGTCTGAGTGGTCCACTAATTTTTACTTACATGTGAGGGGCTCCTGAAGTTGCTGCAATGCATATAGCCACAATCACATAAATTTTCTTGGAATTTTTTTGTAAGAGAGGCTAATACATTTTTAACAAGCATGCTTTCTTGGAGATAAATAATAAATATATATAAGCTTGTACCTCAAATCTTGCTTAAAATCAGTTGGTGTTATTACATGCAGGTCCCAGATATCCTGTTCTTTTCACCTTTAAAATACAAAAGGAAAAAAAAAGTGAAAATAAAGTCTAATCTACACATGTAGAGAAAGTTGTGCTTTTAGGTATCTAGATTGTTTGGTTCACTTGAGACAAAGGCTGATATCTGATTCTTACATAGATGCTCTTAGCTCTGCTCAGAGAAGAAGTATACTAGAGTCATTGTGCTTCTTCTATAAGCATAGACACAAATCTCAGTGACTCCAGCATAAACCAGCAGACAGGAGGATACAGTTTAAGAATTTACAAGATTTTTAACTGCCAAAAGGCCAGGCATCCTCAGGCAAGCACCTTCTCTCCCTCTAGGCAAGTAAGAAGCCTGCATTTATTTGGAGACTTGCTTGATGAGCAGCAAATCAGAGCAAAGGGAGCAAATAAAATTCAAATGGTTCATCAGGTTCAGGCTCTGAGAGGCTGGTGTATGTGTCTTTATGAGAGGAAGATAGCCATTTTTGGCAGTGAACAATTCAAATCTTCTACTAAAGGACCCTTTTCCAGAGAGCGAATGCATGAGCTTTCCTGAAGTTTGCTTGCTTCTCCAACTCTCCTTTATCTTTTCACCATTCGGTATTAAGGATTCTTATCACTGACACACTCTTTTGTTACATTAAACTCTTCCAAAAAATTTCTGCGAAACCCAAATTCACCATTTTATGCAGAATAACACTTTTTCCTTAAATGTGCATTCAACCTAATATTTAATAATACTTGTCTACATATTTACTTGTTAGTATTGCTAATGAGAGCAGAATGCTCTTGATCCACTCAAATAACAGGAATAACAAGCAGATCGAAACACCAAAAGAGAATAGAGAGAGTCCAGGAAGGTATCTAAGTATATAGGTGGAAAAATAATTACATCATAAAATAGAATTGGTTTACCTTTGGGGGAAAAAATAAACTGAAATCCCTTGCTTCATATCTCAAACCAAAGTAATGAGTGAAATTATTTTAAAACCCAAACAAAACCAAAAACCTACCTGGAGGAAAAATACCTGGATTTAAATTTAAATTTAGGCTGAGAAAAACCTTTCCAAGTAAGATGTCAGGGGCTGGAACCATAAATAAAACATTTGATAAATTTGACCACCACTGCTGCATGGACATTAAAAATCTTCTTATCAAAACATGACAAATGTACTTGATAACATGCTCTGAGTCAATTTCATTTTCACAGCCCTTTTTGAAGGAAGTAGCTGTGTGTGTGTGTGTGTGCGTGTACACACATAAAATTCATCCATCCTCTACTCTAGGTTTCTCAGGCTAATAAGAGAGGATGCACAAAAGAAATAATAAAAAATATACAAGTAAAGTGCTGGTCTATTTAATATTGCCCAGTGCTTAATAGCCTTCCTGCCTCTTCACTTCTACGTAAACACTGACACACTGGAACCAGGCTGAGAATAGGCCAGAAGTCTTAGGTAAGATTTTTTATCTCCTATTTTCTAACCTTTGAACATGAGTTGGCTTACCCACCCAACCGCAAGGACTTGGAGCCAAGAGACATAGATTTGTGCTTTCAACTTACCCACACACTCAGTCACAACCAGAACAAATAATGTTAGGAGTATGGCTACCCTGGAGAAAGCTAAATAGAAGGCTAGCCTTCTGAGTGAGGTCAGACTGAAATACAGAACAATGGAAGGCAGACAAGGCAGGAGGCCAGGATGCACTCAGATCCAACTTTTAAATTAAAGACCTTAACTACTAATAAACAGAAGCCCTGCTACTGTGCTCCCTGGCCACTTCAATTAGCCACTTCTCCTAGAATAGGATAGAGAATGGGTTGTAGAAAAGTCAGATGTATCTCCTCCAACACTTCCCTACATGTGGAGCTTGGGGTGTGTTCAGTCTTTCCTGCAGGTGAAGCAGAAATGTGAGAGAGGATAAAAGATCCACTCAACAATAATGTGTCCTTAAAAATACCATGTTCTTTGACTGAGAGGCATCTATCTTACAGGATTAGCTGGATAAATGTGAAATGATTTATCTCAAGGATGCTCATTGAAGAGAGTTTCTAACAATGGAAATGTAAAATGACTAAAGTGCAACAATAGAGAAAATAAGACTTAGAAACTATTATATTTATATGATAGACTGCTATATGGTCATTAAAATGAGGTTCATGGTAAGTTAGGTAAAAATTTATAAAATAGTATGTACAATATAAATACTTTCTTATATATATAAATGCGCATACAAAAGAATGGAAGGTTATTAAATCAGTTACTGCTAAATGGTAGCATTGTATGTGTTTTGTTTTATTATTAAAATCTGAATTACCCAATTTGTCTATAAAAACATGTAAGATTTATATAAATTAAGCAAAATCATTAATGAAAGAAAACGATTGGGCCAATTATGACGAAAGGCACATCTCTGTCAGATATAATATATAATATATACCTATATATTATATACCTACATATTATATACCTTATTATATAGTATATACCTATGTAATACACAATATAGGTACCTGGATTATACAGGAACCACTTCCCTGCAACTCAATAACTGGCTCAGTGGGCTTTTTGGGGCTGCCTCTTATTAGGAATTATTATGGGCTCTCAAAAATGAGTTTATTCTGAAGTAAATGTTATCTGGCTTTACCTTTTCCTTTTTGACCCCACATTATTCACTATCACCTTCAACGATCTGCTCCTGGAGATCCATACATTAATATATCTATTCATCCAGTCACAAACATTGCAAGTGGAATGAATATATGATTTACTAGTGCCCTGGGGAGGCAAAAAAGAAAACAGATTTCTCCTGAGACAAATTTGCTGCAAACTTGATGCCTATTTTGAGAAACAAATCATACCTATTTGAAATAACTTGATTACACTTGCAAGATAATATTCTAACATGGCATAATGCATAGACTTTTGCTGAGGACTCGAAAGAGCGGAACAGATTTGAATGACCTAGAGTTCCCTAGTAAAGAGATTTGTGGAGAAGATGTGGCTTACCCCTAGACTTACTGGGTAAATGGTGTTTGCTTTTGCAAAAAAGATATGACTAACACAGCTGATGAGGTTAGGAGAGGAGAAAGTTTTAGAAAAATGGACAGAGATGAGGTTGGAAAATTAAAGTGTGGTCATTTGATGAAAAGTTTTAGAATCCAGACGGAGGAGGTGATTATTTGATTTTGAAGACATAATAAATTTTTTTAGAACTTGTTTTATAATCCACGTCTTTATAATTCTTCCATGAGTTTTTTCTATGGAGCTCATTGTTGGGGACTAAGGGAGGTCATGGCTGCTACTTTTTAAATTTTACCACTTCCAGGTAATCTCATCCCCAAACATGACCCACTCCAGGACCACTGGTTAGAGCTGTGCAAGTTGGACTCTAAACATCTGTCCCCAGCCTCACAGAAACACCCTATAACCTCCAAGATGCAGCATGGTTAGGCTCAAAGATGTTCTTTTGGATTCTTATACTAAAAAGGACTAGTAGGTTCATGTGATAAGGAAGGGATTAGAGATCTTGGTCAGAGTGAGAGAGAGAGAGAGAGAGAGAGAGAGAGAATGTGTGTGTGAGTGTGTGTGTGTGTGTGTGTGTGTGTGTGTGTTGAACAGAGTTTTCTCTTGGGGCTTTCCTCTTTTCCTGGAGTCAGTAATACAAGCAACCTTAAAAATGCTTGGGCGGCATAGTGAAGTTAACTTTCCTCTATCTGAGGAGTAAGGAAATGTTCCATTCTTTGGTTTTCCCCCCTAACGTATTTTCTTATCCTGTTGGCCTTGGAGCTGAGCATTGAGATTCAAAGAATATGCTTACAGCATAAAAAACAAGAGGGACCGTAATGCTCACATTTAATCCAGCGTAGCTCACAAGGATTACCTGCTGAGACTTGGAGATGCCAAAACCCAAGCCAGTGATAGCTATTTACGTTTATGTAAGTACCTCTGTCTACTCTCTTCTTTTGTACATATGTCTTTCTCAAAAATCACTCTGAATGAAGTGGCACTTGCAGCTAGGATTTGTGCTCTAAATCCAGGGTTTCTGAGGTAGCTCCTTAATGAAAAATGTAAGTGGAATGGCCTTTCAGCAGTTGGCAATAAAACGGTTGCAGAAACCAGGGAGTTACACAAATGTGAAAAGCAGGCTGGTGTGGTGAAGCCTGTGACTACAGAAGTCCTGTCCCATCGGTAAGAAACACTGGGCTAAGCTGACTATTTTATAGAGCCACAGAGTGGTTCTAAAAGTGACCTCAGAAAGTCATCAGAATCTCTAAGAAATGTCTGAAAATGTCACAAACACAAAACATTCCAAGCCACTTTTAAAGACTACCAGAAAAGCTAGGGGTCATGCTCTTGGTAATTCTTCCTAGAGTATAGCAGCCTCCAGGTGGAGTGAAGCAGCAGAATTCCCTGGCAGATTGTTCAAAACTGGTCTCTTTGTGCACTCTGCCTTCTTTTTCAAATACCAATCATCCTTTCTGTTTGATTAATTTTCCTGTATGTGATTGCTAAGACATTAAAGCAAAATCATCTGGAGTAACAATTTTGTTCTTAAGTTATTTAGGAAAACAGCTGTGCAGAAAAGATCAAATTATTAGTCCTTGAGAAAAGTGATGATGGGAAGAAAATGAAAAATAATTTTGTCCTTGCTCTAGCAGAGAACAATCTGTGCAGCACTTAAGGTAAAAAATAAAAAAAAATAAAAAACTTTACTTCAATCTAAGTCTGGAATGATAGATTCATACACTGAACAGGGTGCTTGACTTTTTCCACTGTTCTGTAAGAGGGAGGATGATTGAGACAGTCACAGGGGCAGAGGCAGCACCCAAGAGGTGAAAGTAATGAGGACAAAGTGGCATCAGCAGAAATTCCAGAGGTCAGAATAAAGGTATTAAAGTATCCTTTTCCACGTACATTTTTTGAATAAATTTCTACTCATCCTTTAAAGTTTTGGTTTCACCTTCTCACCTCCTTCAAGAAACATTCTTTAACCTCTACCAGGCTCCTTTCAAGAATCAGCTCCTATAACACTCCCAAGAGTAGACTTAAAGGTGTACTTCCATTTAGTGTTCTCTTAGGTCAGAGATGGACTTTAGTTCAAATTCTTAACCTACCACTTAATGCAAATGACCTTGGAGAGACTGGGGTTTTGTTCTCTTGAAGTGGAAGTTCTAATTGGGCAAGGAGAAAGAATATTGAGCAGGGCAGATATGACAACAAATGGCTGCTCAGAAGGAGAGTGTTCCAGAGGAGACAGAATAGTAGTTCTCGGTAGCAGTAGCAGCATCGTTTTGTTAGAACTGCAAAGCATTGCTCCTCTCCCCACTTCACAGACTCCAAAGCAGAGATTCTGGGCTTGTGATCCGGCAATCTGTTTTCTAATACGTCCTCCAAGTGAACTGAATGCATGCTAAAGTTTGAGAGCCACTGCAATAGACAAAGGGAGTCATGTAAAGGAGGTAGCCAAGATCAGGGTATGATACCTAAAGGGAGTAGAAAAAAACGGGGCAGGGCTCATTACAAGCCTGACTACTCTTAGAGTCCTCATTCTCTTTATCAGGTGGGCCCTTGAAGTGTTACTCTGCCTCCTTACCCACACCCTTATCCTGTCCTCCCCTGAGCTCTGGCCAATTTAGCTTTGAAAAGTGGAAAATTCCATCATGACATTGAACGGCTGCTGTAGTTTTGCATTCGCAGTGTTCTTAATGGCAGATTACCTATAGACAGTAAATTTGGTGTGGAAATTTGCTGGCAATGCAGCCAATCCTGTTAGTAATCCCAACAATAGTTTCCATAAACCTCAGTTACCTCTAAAATTAAAGACTATTCCATAGCCCCAATTTATGGCTAATCAGCAATCATCAGGTTCATTCTTGTCATTGAATGGCATAGTCAACATTTATATTATTGCTTTATCAAAAAACTGAGTTACTAAAAATAATATAATTTTTCTATAGGGATTTGTATTCCTAGGATTTTTTTCTTCAAAATGTCGTTTTGAAGTCCTGTCAATGACTTTAATTCTGTTGTACTTTCTTGTCTGTAGCTGCCAATATCCAAATATATTAGGACCAGAGTAATGCAGATTTCTTCAATTATAACTGAGGAGTTAAGCGTTTGGGGAGCTCTTCTCATGGGGAATACACTACACCAGAAGGCAGCCATAGGCCTTGTCAGACATCAGGACACCCTGCAGGCAGAACTAAACTTAGACGTCGAGTAGATAAGTCTAATGCTTCCTTTTCAGACAGACACACTATAGTGTCAGAAACTAGAAACATCCTATTTCCTTGGTCAGCACCCAGAACTCCCTTCAGAAAGGGAAAGAAGAACACTTTAACTGATGTCTCCAAAAAATGTCACCTTCCTCTTAGATGATATCCACCAAGTAATGGCTGTGGCTTCCGGAGACTTCAGAGGCAACATACATTGTCCCTGATGTACTTGTTAACTCAAGGGTCCTTGTGGAAAGGATATTCATTTTGTAGCTAATGTAAATTACAGGACCTGTCTGTATTTCAGTGATTTCCAGTGACATTCTATTAAAGTTGCTCCTGACATAAACAAGATTAGGTGATAATGGGAGAATTAAACAAGAATTATGCTTTGTTGGTAACCTTGAGCCTAATAGTCTTCAAGTATACACAACAGTCTTTTTTCCCTCTCCATTTTTTATTCCGTGATCCATTCACACAAGTGGCCACCTCAAGAACTGAAAAATTATCAATTAGTACCTTTGATTTCCACCACATTTGTTTACTACCAACTGCTTAGATTCTTTCTCAATGATGATAATCTGTTAGTAGGTCACATTAATACAAGTTCCGTGTTAATCATGACCTTGGTACTTTTCTAATAAAATAAAGTAGTGACCAAATTGTTCTGCCTTTGTAGCTTAATGATGAGAACATAAAATCATTCATTAGCAACAGCAGTGACCTAGACTACAAGAAGAAATAACTATGTTCCACAGCATTTAAACCCCCAGTTCTGACACTTGAGTGTTGTAATGCAATGTAACCTATACATATTTGATTCTTGACAAATCTGAGAAGGACAAAGTGAGAAGATGGGCAACCAAGGTCATATCTCAAATCAATCATTAATATAAATAATTTAACGAGTTACATTCAGCAGTGGTAATTAGGTCAACATTGAAGTTTTGTTGTAGTGAGGTAAGTGAAATCTGGCAGACAAAATTGCTTGAAAATTAGTTGGGGAGAGAAAATAGAAATATGGGAATATTGCAGTATTTGCTATAGAAGATGACAATCAGTATAACTGGTACAAGTAAGTATTGAAGTTGGAGTAAGAGTGAGAGGGTGCAGTGGTCATATTAGCTTAAAGACAGCATTCCCCAAAGCAACCAGCAGCTAAACCAGAAAGAACAGTAAATAGCCAACTTGTCTTGGCAGACTACTGGTAAAATCTGATGGAAAGAAAAGTCTAGAACTCTAATTCTGCTTGGAAGCAGGAGATATTAAGTGGCAACAACTTTCCTAAGGAAACTCTTGGCACATGTCATACTGTACTCATTTTCAACCTGAGGTATCCTCAGTTATGCTGATTGTAACTCCTAAATAATCACCTCACTAGAGGAAAAGAAGACCAGAAAGTGCTTCAGATATTGAAATTGGAAAAACAGTTTAGCACCTACTCTGTACCAAGAACCACAGCTGACATCAAACTTGTAACAAAGTTTTAAGGTTATAACATCATTAATGTTGACTGTTTGCTTTGTCCCTTTTTCCTTCCCCTTAGACTTTGAAGGGAGGTCTATCGTTATTGGGAAGAGACTCTTTTCTTTCCTAACTAGATTAATTCTCCAGTCACCTGGAAGCAGTTGTGGACAATTAGTGATAGAAAAGTAGATTAAATGATCACCATCTTCTCTACTTTAATGGAATCTTGGTATTGCCCAAGTCTGTTAGTGCCTTGGTCTAATCTTACTTGGTCTTTAGTAGTGTCTTTCTCTTTTCCATTATTTCAAAATTCTGTTGATTTCTTTTTTAAAATTTATTTTTATTTCTATGTTTTTGTTCTTGCCAAGTCCAGAGCTATTTTATTTATTTTTATTTCTATTTTTTAAATTATACTTTAAGTTCTGGGGTACATGTGCAGATTGTGCAGGTTTGTTACATAGGTATACACGTGCCATGGTGGTGATTTGCTGTAACCATCACCCTGTCATCTACATTAGGTATTTCTCCTAATGCTATCCCTCCCCAATCCCCCCATCTGCTGCTATTCCTCTCCTACCCACCCCCATGCCCCAGGCCCAGGTGTGTAATAATCCCCTTCCTGTGTCCCTGTGTTCTCATTGTTCACCACCCACTTATGAGTAAGAACATGCAGTGTTTGGTTTTCTGTTCTTGTGTCATATATTAACCTTTATAGGTTCAGGGGTACACGAGAAGTTTTGTTATATAGGTAAATGTGTGACTCAAGGGTCTGGTGTACAGATTATTTTGTCACCTGGGTACCAGCACTACAACCCAATAGTTATTATTTTTTTTCTGAACCTCTTTCTTCTCCCACTCTCCACCTTCTCGTAGGCCTCAGTGTTTGTCATTCCCTTCTTACTGTCCACGTGTTCTCATTATTTAGCTCACTTATCAGTGAGAACAGGCAGTATTTGGTTTTCTGTTCCTACTTTAGTTTGTCAATGAAGATGGCTTCCAGCTCTATCCATGTTCCTGCAAAGGACATGACCTTGTTCTTCTTTACGGCATAGTATTCCAGGGTGTATATGTATCACATTTTCACCATGGCATTTAGATTGACCAACACGTCTTTGATATTGCAGATAGTTCCTCAGTGAACATATGTGTGCATGTCTCTTCATGGTAGAATGATTTATATTCCTCTAGGTATATACCTAGTAGTAGAATTCCTGGGTTCAATGGTAGTTCTGCTTTTAGCTCTTTGAGAATTCACCATACTGCTTTTTACAATGGTTCAACTCCCACCAACAGTATATAAATGTTCCCTTTTCTCTACAACTTTGCTGGCATGTGTTATTTTTTGAGGTTTTAATAATAGCCATTCTGACTGGTGTGAGATGGTATCTCACTGTGGTTTTGGTTTGCATTTGTGTAATGATTACTGATGTTGAGCATTTTTTCATATGCTTGTTGGCAGCATGTTTGTCTTCTTTTGAAAAGTGTCTCTTCATGTGCTTTGCTCACTTTTTAATG